TCAGCATAGTTACTGAGTTGAGAACTGATGCCATCAGGAAGGTTGTTGATGAAAATAGGAACAACATGGTCTAAGGATAGAGCCTTGGGGGATGCCTGCATTTCTGTATCTACTTGAGAATAGTGCAAGTTTATACAATCAGATTTTTTACACAAAAAAATTAGTGGGTCACCCTATGCGCAGATAATTTTTTTTGAAGAGTCTGGGTTGAGCTTAAGTCTAAATAGGTGCTCAAATTATGGTGTCTCCATGTGAGAACACCCATTCATCGTGATGGATGAAAATTCATGATGTACACAGACATACACACACAATTTGACTGAGTTTGAAATAAGATATTGAAATTCCCCTCCTACAGGTGAATAAAATCATCAACTTGGCTACAAGAAAAAAAGGAAAATTTTTAAACTTTTAAAAATCACATAATTACAAGATTTTATTCAACTTTTCAAGAATTACATGGTGATGAGAATAATTATTTTTTAAAGCTTTATTTTTTTTGTTTTTTGTTTTTATTTTGACAAAAGAATTTTTAGTTCTGTCATTGAATTAAAATGTACATGCAAATGTGCGTATATGCACAGCTTAAATGATATTAAAATAGATGCTTATGTTTCAAGGCATAATTTTCATTTCTGTCTGGCAACAACCTCTGGTTAATGGGAAATGAGTGGATGTATGGCTATTTACAGTCATTTTTATGATTCCTGTATTTAAACTAAATATATTTTCTAATAAATTTATTTTAAATGGATAAAGAATTTAGATTTGAAATTGGATTATCTTGATGTCAGTAAAACAGCAAGTACCACATTTGTTCAGATAATTAACAATTCTATATTTTAGCTGACAGTTCAAATAAATTAGTTTTTTATTTAAACTGAATATATTTTCTAATAAATGTATTTTAAATGAACAATTTAGATTTAAAATTTGATCATCTTGCCATCAGCAAATTGACAGTTGCTAAACTAGTATCATAAATGCCAGTTCAAATAAATGACTTCTTTATTTAAACTGAATATATTTTTTAATAAAGATATTATTTTAAACAAACAAAGAATTTAGATTTGAAATTTGATTACCTTGACCTCAGCAAAGCCACATGTACCATTCTTGTGCAGATAACAATTTTACATCTATTTCAAACTAGTATCATAAATGCCAGTTCAAATTAATGACTTCTTTATTTAAATTGAATATATTTTCTAATAAATGCAGCGTTTTAAATGGTAAGTAATTTAGATTTCTAAATTAATGATCTCACCGTCAGCAAAGCAACAGGTACCAAACTAGTGTGTGATTACTGTAAGGAACTTTTTAATTTAGTCTGATTAATCATGTTTACTTTTTATCTTTGTCGTTCTTGTAGCTACAGTCCGAGTTAGAAACACTTAAGGATGCTGATCAGCAAAAAACCAGACATATTGCTCAGTTGGAAGATGAACTTGAAGAACGGCTATCTGAAATAAAAACGCTCGAGTCAAACGTGGCGCATCAAAAGCATCAGCTTGACCAGTTGAACACAAAGGCGGAAAAGCTCCAAGAAGAACTGCAGGAAACCTGGAAGTCAAAACTTGCAGGGGAATCACAAATTGACGAGCTAAGGCAGAGATTGTTCAAACTTGATTCCGAAGAACTAAAAGCATCATCTTCACTTGACGACTCACAGACTATCCAGTCCAAGTTTACAGACCTGTGGAGTGAGATACAAAAACGAGAATCAGACGTAGAACGCCTTGAATGCGAATTGAGCGATGTCCACCATAAACTCCGCTCGCAAGAGGCCGAGATACTCCACACGCACCTGCAGACAGCACAGGATGGTGGTCAGTTGTCCAAGGAGATCAGCACTCTGTTGGGAAAACTCCAGCAGTTGGAATTGGAGTTAGAATCAAAGAACAAATTAATCTCCTGTTATGAACTTCAGCTTAACAAAAAGGACGATGTGCTCCAAGATATGCAAGTAAAGCTTGACCAAACATTGACCACATATCAACACAATGAGCAGGAGTACCACACTCTGCTAGGAGAGGAACAAAAACAGGCATCAATGGCTGAAGGTCGAATTATTGTCCTCCGCAGTGAGGTGGAAGAATTGCAGAAAGAGCTCCTTAACAAGGAGAATGAACTGAGGGGTGTGAAAGACCATTTGATGGAAACTCAGGGTCAGCTGCTTGACCGAGCTCAAGAAATGACCAGACTCTGTCAGCGCCGCAGTAGTTCAGATGAGCAAGATGAAAATGATTCGGTCATAATTCAGCCATCGCTGGAAAGTCACGAAGCACAAGAGACTGTAATACCAAAAGTAAGTTTTCCTTTTCTTTTTTTTTTTTCTCCCCTCTCCCTAATCAAAAAGTCGGTAGTTGCACAGTGATTCTTCTTGGCACTAGAGGTCCATCTTTATGACAGTACTGTCCCATTGTGCCTAAAAGGCATACTTAAATATCTATTCTCCTGGATAAAAGATTTATATATCTACATACTTCCCTGTATAAAGTTTGTATCATGTTCAAATAGAAGAAATATCAAAGTTTTTACCCACTCATTACTCTTTTACCCCTTCGATCATTTAAGATCAAAGGAGTAATGAAACTCAAGACAGAAGGCTTTCTTTTATCTCATTTCACTTGCTTTAATTTTCATTTTTCTTTAGCTTTATTACTTACCATTCACACCTTCTTTCTCCTCAATTCTGTTGTCATTTGGCAATGAGCAAATAGGCAGTTGATGGCTGTCTGTGTAAATGCATTGTACATGAATGTACAGCATTGGGAAGAAGTGACTTTAAATTGTGCAGAGTGGAGGAACTTTATAAGGGACAGATGCAACCCTTTTGAGGAGGAATGTCTCAGGCATGCTCAGATCAAGTCTGATCTCTGAAAAAGCACTCTCTCTGAATTGCCAATTAATATACAGCCTTGGTAATGAGGTGTGTGTGTTTGTGAGTGCATGCTGTTGCTGAGGGTAGATTATGTAAACCCTCTGAAAGGTCATTATAACAACCAAAAGCAAACCTGTTTCATCGTCCTGCCAAAAATACATCTCTTGTTTGCAACAAGGTTTGCAGATCATCTGGACTGAGAAGACGTGCTAGTACAGAGGAGAGTTGTAGGGCTTGCTATTCAGTCAATGATACGGAATTTACCTGTCAAATATCCCTGATCATGAAATCGAATGCTGTTCTCAAGAGTCATCTTAAGGGGTCACGGATGATACACAAAAGATACAAGGTGTGAGGAAGTTACTCTCATTTGTGTAAGATATGGCAATCACCATAGACAATATTTTGGGGGAAGAGCCTCTTGGTCAGGCTAAATTTGTTTTAGGCTCTAAAGGCGTCTAAAACAAATTCTTTGTTAGATTTTGTATAGTAGGTTGGGTTGAGAACTTTCAGCACCACCTTGTGTGTACTTAAAACTATATGATCTGAAGGCATGAAACTGATAATTACCAGGTGGTATTGATTTTTTTTATGTCCACAATTTAAAAACAGCAAATTTTAAACAATACATAGTAACAAATTATTATTTATAAACTCACTTCTACAAGTCCTATGTCAAGTAAATATAATCCCTAGTTAGGATAAGTAAACATTTAATTTTATTTATTACTATTAATGCTCTATCACTTGATAGTGATCAGTAGAATTACAGAAACTGCTTGCCTTAAAAATGCTTTCTTTCAGTAATATCCTTGTTAATGTGTGTGTGTGTGGGGTTTTTTTTTTTTTTTTTTTTGTTTTTAACACGATCTTTTAGATAGAAAACTGAGAAGATATTCCTTTTGAGAAAATCTGAACATATGATTGTTATTGCAATACTTTTTTGTTAAGTTCAAATACTTAACAATGTGTTAGTGGAATTTCTACAGATATTTTATTGTTGTAGAATTCACCATCAGCTTATTCAACTGTTAACTTTAGAATTAAGATTTATCAGAATATTAAAATAGGAAAACCGTGAAATTTTGATGGGTTAAAACTAGTGCAAACTATTCTAATAAGCTGACATAGGGTCAGTAAATGACGAGTAGATGTAGTGGATTAAAACAACACACACTGGCTTGTTAGACAGCTTATCATTTCATGTGTCCTTATTGAATTCATTTGCCATTGAGGATGTTTGGATTTGTTGAGTAAAGTAATCAATCAAAGTCTGTTTTGAATTAATAACCACTTACTCCTCATCTGTCTTTCTTACCATTGGTAAAGCATCTTGATCAGCCTGAGAACTGCATATACTTACCTGGACTTGTTTCTTGTCTATCCTGCTTGATCCATTTTCTGCATTCATTCTAACGTGTGGACTTGTTACCATGGCTACAGATAGGAATAATATATCTACGGTATTGATACTGTTCTTTTTTTCTTATTCACGTCAATTAATCCTATTAATTGTTATAAACCTGATTTTGCTTCAAGGTCATTTTCTCTCCAGTCAACGTTTCTCTCTGTTTCTCGTTTTTTCATATCTCGTTCAAGGTTGTTGGATTGAGCTACTTTTGAAAGGCCAACACTAGTAAATTTTAGAAATTACTACTTTGTGACCTTAGTAACTATTTTTAAAAGGCACCAATATTCAGAGAACTTAATATGACTACTTGGTTACTTATTTTAGTGCATCATTTTACTTAGAATTATTGCCACATGACACGAACAATAGTTAGTGCATTATTTAAACAAATTAGCCATAAATAATCAATAGTGCCTTTTATGGATATCTGTCACTTAAATTATTGTTAGCTAAGACTGTTTTTACAGTTACCTATATAGTGATGTAATCATTCTAAGGAATGTGTTTAACTAAAATAAGTACTACATAATTTGTTGTGTTTTTAGAATTAACTAAAATAAGTACTACATAATTTGTTGTGTTTTTAGAATAAGCTGACCTGACTTGGGTTACTAAAAAAAAATTAAAAAAATGACTATTTAGAAATTTTGCCTCACTGTCATTTTTAATCTGGCAACCAAAATCTTGACCTTTTTTTTTTTAAGGTCACATCACATTGAAACTCTAGTTCCCATATGATCACCAAAGTTAAGCAACATCGAGCCTAGTCAGTACCTAGATAGATGACCACATGGGATTCCAGATAGAGTAAGCTTCAATGTTTGGGTGGTGTAATGGATAATAGCTTAGAATTGTTAATTGGAGAGCTGAGTTCAAATTCCTGTTGGGTTCATTATTTTCACCTACATACAAATACCATTGGGAAAGGTATGAATCCACCTATTCTCCCCTAAGGTATGGGTTAATTAGTAAGATTTGTATCACTAAACCATTATTATCTCTCAATAAAAGAAGTTCTTGCTATCTAAAAATATTTTCTGGCTTTAAATAACCTGGAAAGGGTTGCTAGGCCATAAACAACAAATCAATAAAGACATTGTCTCTAGATCTGTGTCCTTGACTGATGCTAAAGTTATTTAACAACTTAAATGTTTAAGTTTTCAACTTTGTCCACTGATGTTAAATTTGAATTATTGCATTATATTTTCCAAACTCTTTATACATCTGATACAAGTTTAGATTGAAAATTTGGTATTCTATTGACTCTAAAGAAGTTAAAAATTGTTACATTGTTTTACTGTTCATTAATTTAAAAAGAAAAAATTTTTTTTTTTTAATTGTTTTACCCCAAGTATGGTGATAAAGCCACTAAAATGCAAGGGGTTATGGAAATTGAAAGAAACTGAGAAAATGTTATTGAGAAGAAAGGACAATAAAAGAACAGGTTTCATGGAGACAGAGGCAGACTAATGACAGTCTGCAAAGTTTGTCACATGATTGCAGTCATGTTTTGATTTTCAATGATATATTTTCAAATGTATATCTGCTCACTGATTTAGTGCTAGTATTGCTGCCCATTTCTATAAAAACTACCACAGATACAAGGAGCTGTTGGATTGGACACATTTTCAGCTAGAAAATCTTATTTTTTCCATATAATTTTTGTTTTAACAATTGTGCAGAGCTGCCAAGAATGTGACTTTTTATGTTGTCACTGCTTTGTTCACATCCACTATTTGGTTGACATCAACATTCACTTAGATGATCATGTCTCTTTTGATTCATAACTGACTACACAAAAATTTTTCTTGTAGTAGGTTTGAATTTCTTTCTGCAATAGACTGGTTGCCAACCAAGGCTATAGAACCCAGTCTATCCTGCTATTCCTGCTGGGGTGGGTAGTGATGGATATTTGCATGCAAGTGATTGTAATAGACCCTTCTGGAATTCTGAGCCATTACTCTACAAAAGTGTTAAAAATGTTTTTCATGGAAAAATAATGGTTTATTTTTGCATTATGTTGTCTCGAATTTTTTTGCAAGACACTGATGAAGGTTAAAATCTTCACTATTAATATTGTTGAAGTTAGCGTGAACATTTTTCGTTGAGATTTACCAACTCTGCATTTTGTTCAGTGAAAACTTTCAATTTTTCCCAAAAAATGAATGAAAATTTAAAACCAATTGTACTTTGTACCCCTTTACCCATTTGCACTTATCCACAAAATTTGGTTTCGATCAGTCAATGTATGGCTATTTTAGAGGGTGTGATAGACTGATGGGTTGAATAATGGAACTTACAGAATTTTATATACTAGAATTTTTTTACAGCACACTATTTAGTATTGTTGAAATTGTTGACTTTTTTTGTCGAGATTTCAAAGTAAGTTTTGTTAAATTTCGCAAAAGAATCAATGAAATTTGAATAAGCTGATTTATTTGGGAAAATACTTTGATAAAAACTCTACTTCACGGTTTAATAAATTTTTTTAATCTAATTTTATTTTTATAGGACTTCATGGTAAACAATATTTTTCAAAAAAATTTCTTTTTTGCCCTTTTTAACTTAAAAGTTATGCAATAAACAATATTGTCTTTTTATTAAATAAGTATTTATCAATTTATTTGTTAAATTTTTTTTTAAATAGTTGGAGTATTTTGCATGTTAAATAATAAAACATTTAATTTTTAAGTTCCATGAAAAAATTATTGTACAACACTACATACCCTAGTAAAACCAACTATACTTTGTACCCACTTACCTATTTGCATTACTCCCCAAAATTTGGTTTAGATTGGTCAATGTATGGCTGTTTTAGAGCGTGTGTGATGGACAAACAGAAGTCAAAGAATTTTATATATAGATAGATAAAAAAACAATAGGGGTGTCACCACTTAAATTATATACCATATCTTTCTCATTTTATTTTCATCATGTGGTAAATATCATAGCATATATTTTTGAATAACTGGTTTAAGGAAAAATTAATACTTCTTTGTCAAATTTTTCAGTAATGCTAAATAACATTCATAGTGTTCACTTATAATATTTCATCAGGAAGTTTTCATTCACACAAAAAAAAATCTAAACACAAATGTAAAAAAAAATAAGCATAAGTAACCAATATAATATACTTATAATATAAAATGTAAACAGAATGAAAACAGGTAATTGCTGCATCATTTTTTATTTTTTATCCTTTACTGGTAATGTTGAAAAGACATCAGGTAAATCAAGGCAAAAATGTCCTATGAACTAATAAATGGGCTAAGAAAATCTTACTTTCAGAGCCATTTGATAAAGTGAAACGTACAGACATCACTATGTTCCCAATGATTGTTATATTTTTTAATAACATAATAGGTTAGATAGGATGATGTCCATATTACAATAACCAAGAATATATTGTGTATGTTTAGTAATATTACATATATGAAATTAAATAAAAAGTCAAAAGTATATTAGCTTATCTCACCTGTTCTTGCGGAACCCGTGGGGATCTTTTGTGGAACCTTAGGGTTCTGAGGAACTCCGGTTGAGAAATGCTACCTTAGAGTTTCTGGAAAAGAGCATATATTCAGGCAAGATCAACAGTTTCAGCAAGGTCAGTATTCTCAAATCCTTGCTCACAATGACTTACAACATTGTGCTAGCATAACCAAATGAGCAATAGCTTAGAAAAATTTTGTATATTTGAAAATGGTAATAAATTACTGTTGTAACCTAGGAAAAGGTTACTGAATAAGAATAACCAAAACGAAGGTTGGAAATGGAACAATAATATTTATAACAGAAACAACATACAAGATTTGCCAGCAGTGTGTAATAAGTAATCAACTGCTCGTGGTGAGCTAGAAGAGGATCAAGGTGAATCGGAAGTGAATTCCAAGTGGAAGACAACATACAGTTCTTCTTCTCTCTTGTAACGGCATTCACCTGAGGTGGGTTGAGCCGACGCCAATATTGGAGTTTCATGGGAATTTTTGGAATTCACAAGTGGTCCCCAACCCGCATGTATAGCACATGAGATTTGATTATAGTGGTGAAGGTTTCGCAGGACCATCCACAGTTTTTGAAGGGTCCGACACAGAGACCTGGTGCACTACGTGCCACAAGGTCCCCAAACAACCCCCCTCAGGTTTTGAATTCAGAGTTGTCCTTCTCCTAGACCAGTTGCCATCCAAGGCTATAGAACCCAGTCTGTCCTGCTATTTACGCATAGCTGGAGGGAGAAGAAGAGGATTCACACCTTTCCCAAGGGTATTAGCACGTAAGTGAATGTAATGGATTTGACTGGAATTTGAACTCGGCTCTCCGATTCCTCAATCCAAGCCACTATCCATTACTCCACCGTGCTTCCCCATCAAGACAACATACAGTATATACCACTGTATTTATAGGAATTGGGACATACCCATTATCATCCATAGGTATGGTATAACATTCACATTGTTTGCTTGTTGTATTGACTTTTTTTTTTTTTCTTTTTTTTTTTGTCATTCAGGTTAATGAGAATACAGTGGAGGCACTTGAAGAAGAACTGAAGATGATGCGAGCCCAACTCCAAGCACGGACAAAGCAACTGGAAGAAGCTGATCACGATGAAGAACCCCCGTCTGTTGACAACACTGCCCTGCCACATGACCAGTTGATTGAGCATGTGAACCAAGTGCAGGATGAGCTGAGAATCACTCGTGGTGTCCTGGAACGTCTATGCAAAGCAAACTCTGCCCAGCAGGCTACGCTCCAGGAAAGAGAACAGCAGGTGCAGCAGCTCCAGGCTGATTTGGCTGCAATCCTAGCACAACAGAAGGCAGCTCTTGCAGATGAAGCAAAAAGTCTACAGAAAGGTAAATCATTGATCCTTTCCTCTAATACATGCCGCCTTCTAGAATTTAAATTTTTGGACCAAGCCCTACATATGCATATTTAAAGAATTTGAAAAAAAAATTAATTTTTGTTTTTATACTGTAGGATTTTATGATGATTGGGCAAAAATAAGAAACACAACACATGGAATTTGAAGGAAACGACAATGCATGTTATTAACAAAAGAAATTACATGCATAAACAATTGAAATCAAAGGAAAAGATATTATAACTAACTACAAGTACGTGCTTCTTTGTGTGTGTAACAAATGTTTGTGTGAGAATTCCATAGTAGACCAAAGAAACAAACACACCATGAGAGGCATTCTTATCTATGAGCTACTATGTTTGGATCAAGAAAAAAATCAGAGAAAGGAAATGTTTGCCATTTTATAGACTTAAATAGTGTCACCTAATGGGCGTTTTTTGTGAAGTGGTGTAACCCACAATATAAGTAAGTAAGAAAAAGAGAGAAAATACACAGTATGCATACAAAAGTAAGAAGACATTAAAAGTTAGTAATTATGGTGGGTGGGTCTTTGTGTGTGTACATGTGTGTTTATATGTATATATATATGTGTTAGTACAAAGTCTCGAGTCATCGTGACCAAGGGATTGAGTGTGCTGGTTTTGTTCAGATTGTGATCATTCTAGGTAACACGCTTTCTCTCAGAAACTCTAACTGAGGTCTGCTCAGCATAGTTGCAGTATAAACCACAAGTTTGCTCTGTGGCCGTTGAACAAGCACAAATGTGCCTGAGCGAGAGTTTGCAACAGGGATTAACTAGCCACCCTAGCAGATGGGTATCCTTAAATACAAGTGGCCAGCTATTCTCCATGGAAAATGAGAATGAATAGTCAAATGATTGCATTTGTGTAGTGTTTGTACATGTTTTTGATGTAATATCCTAAAGTAATGTTTCTCCCTCTCTCTCTCATATATATATATATATATATATATATATACACACACATTCTTTTTATAGATTGAAATATTTAAGTAAATGCTCTGTTTATAATAAACAGTATTAACAACATTTACGGGCCTGAATGTCCGAGAAATTTGGGTCACAGCGGAGCATTCAGTTAGCAAGGTGGATTCTACTGTTTTTAAACACAATTCTACATTCATATCTGCTCAATGTATATCCAAATCGACCTTGCTAACTGAGTGCTCCTCTGTGGCCCAATCGGTTAAGGCACGTCAGGCTATATGACGGTTCAGTATAGGATACAGGTTCAATTCCTGTCAGAGTACACATAATTTTTATGAAAATTTCTCGAACATTCAGGCCCGTAAGTGTTGTTAATACTGTTTATTATAAACAGAGCATTTACTTGAATATTTGTATCTATAAAAAGAACATATAAACATAAAAAATGTCTTAAAAAATAATTGTTGGACTTTATCCATTTCATGATATATATATATATATATATATATATATATATATATATATATATATAATATATATAGGAAAATAAAAAAAAAAAAAAAACATTCATATTGGCCATTTACAGATACACTCTATCTGAAATGTTTACATACATATATATGTCTGTGTGTGTAGAAAGATTTGAACAAAGGAAAAGATTATATACTTCAAAAGCCAGTCTTTAAGCTTAAGCTGATTAATTTTCAGAGATTATCTCTGAACTGTTATCAGATTTGTATTTATATTTTTCTGGATATTTTTCATATTTTTCTTCCTACCTGATGTTGGTTCTCTTCATTACAGGTGACATAACTTGGCAGAGCCAGTCATTTGAATCACCTGAATTCCACAATGTTGGACCCAGGGTCCAGTCGTCGGATAACAGTGGTGCTACATCAGCTGTTCAAGATGCCCGTGATTCTCATCCACCTGAACAAAACATACAGGATCGTCTTCAGGTAAGTTACCCCAAAACTTTCTGCCATGGTTTATGACCACATCACATTGAAACACTGGTTCATGTAGTTAAACAATGTTGAGCTTAGTCAGTACCTAGATGGGTGACCACTTGGGAATACCACGTGCTGTAAGCTTGGATGTGTGAGTGGTGTAATTGGTAACAGTTCAGTATGAGAAATTGAAGTTAAGCAATGTAGAACCTGGTCAGTACATAGATGGGTGACCACTTGGGAATACCACGTGCTGTAAGCTTGGATGATGTGTCAGTTCAGTATGAAAATGGTAACCTGGTCAGTTCAGTATGAGAAATGTGAGTGGTGTAATTGGTAAGTTCAGTATGAGAAATTGAAGTTAAGCAATGTAGAACCTGGTCAGTACATAGATGGGTGACCACTTGGGAATACCACGTGCTGTAAGCTTGATGTGTCAGTGTAATTGGTGTTCAGTATGGTAACAGTTCAATGTAGAACCTGAGAAATTGAAGATAAGCAATGATTGAACCTGGTCAGTTCAGTACATAGATGGGTCAGTACATAGATGTGACCACTTGGGAATACCACGTGCTGTAAGCTTGGATGTGTCAGTGGTGTAATTGGTAACAGTTCAGTATGAGAAATTGAAGATAAGCAATGTTGAACCTGAATAGATGGTGTAATGGAATAAATGGATAATGCCTTAGAATTAGTTGATCAGAGTTGAGTTCCAATTCTCATTGGGTTTGTTATATTCACTTGGCAAAGGTATGTATCTACCTCTTCTCCACCCAGCTATGGGTTAAATAGTAAAACCTGTTCACTAAACCATTATTATCTCCAAAAAAGAAATTCTTAGACTCTAAAAATATTTTCTGGCTTTAAATAGCCTGCAGAAGGTTGATAAACTGAAAAAAAATGGAAGGTTCTTTTATATAAAAACTATATTTATATTCATATTTCTTTCTACCTATCTCTATGTTAATATTCTTCCCTTGTCCCAAAACACACATACTCTATTAAGCTTAGTTATCTTTCTACTCTTGGATCCATTAATGGTTAGCACCTACTAGATTATGCAAATAATTTTTATTTTCATTGAAATATTTCTATCTATGGCTATGTCAAGTTGAAACTTTGATTCCCATATGATCACCAAAGTTAAGCAATGTCAAGCCAGGTCAGTACCTAAATGGACGACTGCTTGGGAGTACCAGGTGCTGTAAGCTTAGATGTGAAGGTGATATAATGGCTTAGAAATGGAAATTGGAGAGTTGAGTTCCACATCCAGTCGGGTTCGTTATATTCACTTATGCACAAATAATTTTGGGAAAGGTATGAATCTATCTCTTCTCCCCTAGTTATGGATTAATTAGTAACACTTGTATCAATAAATCATTATCTCCAAAAAATTCTTACAATCCCAAAATATTTTCTGGCTTTAAATAACCTGTTAAAGGTTGGTAAGCCATTAAAAACGAATCAATCTGAAATATTTCTTATCAAACAAAACATTGGCAACAGAATAAACATTTAAAGCCTCCAACTGGTTTTTATATATTCTATCTGTTGTAGGATACCTACGGACGATAATGGATATGTCCCCATTCACCTAAATGAGGTAGTAAATACTGTATGTTGATCTGCAGTTGGAAATTCATTGTGGAATTCACTTGACTCACTTCTAGCAGTTGACTACTTCTACACACTGCTGGCGAATCTTATATGTGTTGTTCTTGTCTTAAGTATTATTGTTCATTACCAAACTTTGTGTGATTATTCTATTCAGTAACCTTCCCTAGGTTACAACACTATCTGACATACTTTGTTCAGTTATTTCATAATCAGATACTTCACTATAGAAAGATATAAAAGGCATTTTAAGCTCTCTATAATTGCAGAGTTAAAAATTATCTCATAAACTTGTTACATTCCATTTATGAGAGTCAATCAATAAGACTCTGTCATGACATATACTTAGCTGAATTTGGATCTTAAATTTTCACAGTATAATGTGATTAAAATTAGCACTGAAGTAAGTACATTGACAGGGAATGAGAATATATTAAAAAAAATATTTGTTCTGTAAAAAAAAAAAATGTTTTTTTCATGATTAGGCTATGGACAAAGAATTTTTTTCTTTAAACTCAATACAGGGCTTAAGAGCCACTCAAGGTAAAGGGTTGCTATGAAGATAAGGAGGATACATAACAATTGACTCATGACTTGAAAAGATTACACTTGTAGTATTCAAGGAAACATCTACATGGGAGTCTGTCTCACAAAGTAACAGCTCTGGTGGGGTGGGGTTGAGTGAAATGTTCTCTTTACATTTGGTTCATTCACATTCACTTACGTTCAAATACTCTTGTGAAAGATATAAATTCATCTTTTTCTCACCACATCTATGGGTTGACTATCAGGACAGACTGGGTCCTATAGCCTTGGTTGGCATCCAGTCTACTGCTGAAAGAAACTGCAACTTACTGCTAGAAAATCTCCTCCCTAGTCAATCAATAATTTAAATAAACATGATTGCCCAAGTGTGTAAAATGTATAACACTTTATTTATAGATTGAGTGTCATCATTTAAGTACTTGACTGACTGTCATTATTATCTCTGCCTTCAGACATGTTGTGCACTAACATGTGCACCTCTCAGTGGCCATACTTTCTCTTGGTTACATGTAACAGTCTGAGACTGTTTAAGTAATCCTCTGATTTCTATTATATTAATCTTGCCTACTAATTGCATGTTGAAGGTTAGAAGTGGCCTTTTTTGGAAAACCTTAGCTTTTTAACATTCTCATGTTAGTTTTATCAGCTTATTCTTTCATACTGGCTTTGGGCAACTTGGGAGAGGATTTGTACTGCAACACAAAGGTTAAAAATATTTATACAGAAGCAGGTTTAACCTTTATCTAGCAGGAGGTGAAATTTGTCACTGGAGAATACTTTCTCTTTGCTGCTCTAGGTGCATTCTGTCACCTTGAGAGAGTTACTATAAATAAACACTTGTCAATTGTTATTTCTGGTAATTTAAGCTGGAAATAGCCTAGTACTTTTGTTTTCTGACGCCATTTTGAATTCTTCTTCATGAGGTGTACCATCGATTAAACACAAGTCTTTCAACATCCAACAAAACCTTCATTCAGGAGTTTTTCTTTGATTCAGACACCAGTGATGATTTTAAAGGCTTTACTCAAGTGGATATTGATGCTGAAGTGGTTGGAGATAAGAGGTGATAATTATGCTAGTGATGGGGAAGAAAGCTATGATGACCACTAGGTGCCGAGCACCTACTATCATCCATATCTGACTAATTTTATTGAAGCTACTGGTGACCATCGATGTACCTGATAGCCTTTCTGAAGGTGAATTATTTTTTATAAACGACAAAATAATAACTTTATTTGTTAATTGGACAAATAAATATGCTAGTCAGGTGAAAGAAAGAGCAAACAAATGCTGGTGCCTACACATATGTAAACCCAAAGAAGAACATCACTTTTGACGAAATGAAAGCCTTCTTAGCCATTATACTTCTTATTGCACCACAGAACTCCACAAGGAGTAATAAAAGTTTGTTAATTTGTTAATGTATGTTTTTTATTTTGTGTCTCAATTTTTTTGTTTTCAGTGTCAAAACCTACATGCAAAACAATGCATTACATCAAAATATTATTCATTCATTCTTCTATTAGTACACAAAAAATAAAATTTATATGCACAATACATAGAAAGTTATAACAATTTTAAAACAGTATGTGCTCATGTGTTTTTCTGCCCTCAAAAAATGCAGTGGCAGGGGAACAATTCTAGAAAGAATTTGGTGGGGTAACGGTTAAAGAACGGTACTATGATAGTGTGCAAAAATAGATTTACTCTTCCAGTGCTTGTTATAGTTAAACAGTCATTTATACTCTCATAATAGATGTGTGGGTGTGGTAATGGATAATGTCTTGGAATGAGAAATCAGAGAGCTGTTGTAGCATTTATGATTTCTCACACATGTTTAGGAGAGGAATAGATAAGACTCTTTTCTTTTTAAGTCATTTTAATGACCTGTGTTTCCCAGGAATCTTGTCTCCATCCCATCATTGAGTAAATTTAATGACCAGGATTTTTCAGGAATCCTGTCTCCAACCTACCTTTGAATTGACAGACATAATATTTTGTTAGTAATTTTAGATAGCTGTAAAAGTAGGATCCTTTGAAAAACTGACCACCCATAAGCTGTCTGGGTGGGCCCCTCTTTCCAGTTGATGGAACACAAGTGGATGAAAAGTGGTGGTGGGTCCCCCAAGGCTAGTATCTATATAATGAGCAGTCAGTGAAATGTTCAGGCAGTGGTTGTGTAGGGGTCTGTTTTCTGTAGCTAAAACTTAGTGAGAAGTCAGATAAAAAAAAGAGGTTTGCTTTCTTGAAGCAGAAGGAAAACAAGGTCAATTAAGTGAGATATATGCTATTTCCCAATCAAACAAGTATCTAGAAAAGCATTTGTTGTTATTCTTTGTTGACATCAATCACAGATGGCCTTGTGGAACATGACAAGTACTGGTGTATTCACATACTGACAATCTTGGATGTCACCACAGCTTGTGCAGTGACATGCAGGAACACATCATCACACTGAGTTCAAATTCCAACTGAGTTTGTTACATTCATTTACATGTAATTACCCTTGAAAAAGGTATATATCTATCTCCTTCTCCCACCTATGGGTTAAATAATAAGACTTTAATCTGTATAAATTGTTATCTCCAAAAAAGTGTTAATGCTATATTCACTTGTGCAAAAAAAAATTCTTACAATCTAAAATATGTTTTGGCTAACTCACAAAGGGTTGAGAAGCCATGAAAAGGCAATCTATACCCTTATAAAAAAAGGTCTTGTAACAGCTGATCTATTTATACACCAAATATTATCTGTAAAACTTGGCTTATGCTTTTATTATCATATTTTCCTGTTCATCTCCTTCATTCTTCCTTTTCATGATTTTAATATTGTCTTTTGTCTTTCTTTAACAGATTCTTCTGAATCGTATGCACCGAGAAGGTCTGCAGAATTTGTCATTGGCTGAGCTTCAATTCATCAGACAGTACGCGTCCCCCAAACCCAATCCAAAAGACATTGACATCCAGGCACTTCGTGCTGCCTGGGAAAAAGAACGCCAGTCACTTCTATCTGCCATTCAGGCCCTAAAAGATTTGTTGGCACATGAACAGCAAATAAGCGGCTCTCAGTGGGTAAGGAGTTAGCTTTGTCATTTTATCTTTCCTTAAAGTCTTACAGGCAAACCACAACTAATCAGATATTATTACCACATGTTGGATTCCTTCAGAGCTGGATCACAGACTGTTATGGGAAGTGGATCAATCAAGTGAAAATAAAAATCAAATAAAATCTGAATGTTTCTATATGAAGGTAGTGTAATGGTTATCAACACAGAAAGTGAAACTGATGAGTTGAGTTCAAATTCAGCTCTTGTCTGCTGAGTTAACCTTTAAAAAATACTCTTGGAATAAGCATGAATCCATCTTTTCTCCTCCCAGGTATGGGTTAAATAGCAGAGTATACTGGGCCCTATATTCTTGGGTGTCAACCAGTCTAAGAAAAGGAAAACTCCAAATTCTAGATTGTGGAGAGGGCCACAGAAAACTACTTCACTATTTTTTCCAAGAATGTATAGGATTTCAGAGTTAATTTAAGAAAAGGGAGAGTTATGATTGCCAATGTTCTGAAGAGACATGAAATTAAAAAAAAAAACAGCTATGGGTTAATTAGCAGGGTAGACTGAACAATCTAGCCTTATGTGACAGTCAAAAAGAAAGAAAACTAAATTCCCAACCAAAGGCCACAGGAAAACACTCTATTACCTCTCAATTGCCATGTATAATTGGGAAATGAAGTAAAGAAGGGAATGTGTGGAGAGTCATGATTGCTTAAATTCTGAAAGGATATGGCATTTTAAAAAATGTACAGGTAAAAAGAATGCTGGTGTTAATTAACCTTTAGCAGTCAATAGAGTGTCTTAGCCAAAGAAAATGTTTCTCCTGCCACTGCAGGTGACTGCTTAACAAACAATAGCATGTTTGAATTTTGAGGTTATGGTGTCATGGCAACAACAGGCACAACAGATCTACTGCATCTGAGGGGGCCTTTGAAAAAGAATATATTTCTTTCTCGTTGGATCTAGTTTCTTTGGACAAATTTACACATCTTCA